AGGTTGAGGAGAAAAGAGACAGACTGATTGATAAGCCGACCATATACGAGGCGCCAATCGAAAAACTCAATTATTCAAACTGTAATATCGGATCACTTAGAATTGACTAATGACACTGTAATTTGAATGGCAATGTATTGACTAGTGGACAATCCCCAAGGACGACACGTGGCTTACATTAACCTTCCTAAAAAAATTACTACTTTTTTTGTTTGATTAACAGATAAAATATCAGAAAAAGAATTTCTCTAAATATGACTTCCAAAGAGAAAAATAAAATTTTACAAGTCATTGAAATCCCTCTTTTTGAGCTTCTTTACTTCGTTAATGGCTCCCTTGGCAACGCTTGAAGAAAGAAAAGAAAAAGATGGGGAAAAAAAATATTAGGAAAATACAGTTAACCACAATAAAATTTTAAAAAGTATAATTTTAACGTTTTTATGCTAGTGAGATACACTCTTTATGCCACGTAGACTCGGAGGGTGTTATTTATTACATTTCAAACAATGATAAGGGGTCATAAAACCTCCACAAAGTATAAGGGTGCAATTGGTAAAATAGGTTATCCCGATAACAACAATAAAACAACAAGAGAGCTGAATGCTCACTCTACTAAGAGGGTGTTTGGATGGGCTTAAAAGCTGGTCAAACCAGCTTTTAAGCACTTTTTTATGGATGGAGTGTTTGAATAAAAAAAAAAAGCTGCTTAAAAGAAGCAAAAAAGTGCTTAAAAAAAGCTAAAAGCAACAAGTTGGTCTACCCCAACTTTTTTTATTTTAGCTTAAAAGCCATTTTGGTTTGACCAGTGAAATTACGCTCCTGTCCCTTATAAGTTTTTATAATACCAAAATTACCCCCCGTCAAAGAAACCCTAAATCATTGTGTTTCTCCTATTTTCTTCAGTTTGAACTTTGAAGACTGCGGTCTCCTTTCATCCTCATCGATCTCTGCTTCATCTTTAAATTTTCTGCGCTTTTCTTCAAGCAATTCGGTGGAAAATCAATTATCGTTGTAAGTTCTTCTCGATCCTTATTGTATATTTTTGTTTAAATTGGATTCTGATATCTTGTGTTCTTCACAATATTGAAGTATCTTTCAGTTTCAAGTTACCACAAAATCTTTAGTCACAGTTTCCATGTTGTGTTTTATTCGCCAAAACTTACAATCTCATCTTTATGACTCTAAATTGGCACTTCTCTTTTTATGTGTTTCCATTTACACAAACTTTAATTTTATCTCGGTGGTTATAATTATCAAGAAAAGTTCCCAGCTATTAGCCGTTGGCTTCTAAAGCTATTGTCACAGTGTAGAAAAATAAACTTGAGTGGTTCTTCAGCTCAAGTCCAACCACACATAGTTCCTGATACAGCTTGCCATAATTTGATGTATGTCCACAAAAAATTTAAAAAATAAGTAAAAGGATATGCAAATGACTAACATCTATTTCCCAATACAGAAATAGAATTAAGAGATGCTCTGTGCTTTTGATAGTTCTCAAGCATGACATATTCAGAGCTTTGAAGGGCACATATCACCAGGCAATCGTTAATCTTTATTTAGCTGTTTGTTTCTTATAGGTATTGATGTAGTAGAAACTTGTAACAATACTGTACCTTTTCCACTCTTATCAAGTTTGGTGGCTTATGATTTGAATAATATTTATCCTTGAATCATTAGAAGGGTAAGAGTTCCAGCTTAGTTTATGATGAGTATTGTAGTGCAAGGTTGTAGTTCAGTGACTGTGTACTTAAGTTTCTTCATGTGAGTGTTGGCATAGGATGGTTATAAAGTGGAAACAATACCATTAAGACTACTTTAGTAGAGTTTTATGTACTTAGATATTCCGATGGTACAGAACACATTCTTAGTTACATAAACCAACTTATTCATTATGCAATATTCCTAATGCTTGATCTGAGTTAACATACAAAAGTACTGGTTGATCTTAGCTTCTTGGTTGCTCTGCTTTCTTCAGATTATTTACATTCAGTTATGCCGGACAATGCTAAGTGGGACGATGATACACATTTATTAAGGTACGTCTCTCACATTATCATATGTGTAATTTTTTTTGTCATTGTTAATTTTATCAGTTTGATTAAAGTAGTTTTTATTTTCTTTTTACAGGAGAATGCAAAATATAAGAAATTTAGGAACAAAGATCTTTCGCTCATATGGTTTCGCTACGATGCACTGTTTGCTGATGTTGTTGCCACAGGAGAAAGAGCACGTGCAGCAAATCAAGAACAATCATCGGGCATTGGACTTAATCTCGATGAAGAAGGGATAAATGTTATTGATGATTGTGACAAAGAACACTTCACTTATCTTAATGATGAAATGAGCGATGAAAGTGATGATCTACAGAATATAAATTCTGTTGTGTTTCCAGAGCCATCACTAAAAAGACAAAAA